AAGACTGATTGTTGTCACATGGGAGCAGGGCAAGTGCATGTAAGATTCCACCAAGTATAAGGATGTCTCCAATGGGTGCCCCCATATTTCTCTTGTAATAAAATGTCCTGTCCTGCTTACTAGGGATGCACCAATACCAAGTACCGTACTCAGTACAAGTACAGATACTTTTCCACCTCCAAGACTAGACTAGAGAAAAATTCAAAAGTTAGGAGGCAGCTGTCACTTGTAAGGAGCACACAGAGCTCCTGGGATTTGAATGCGTGTACAAATGAATGCGTGTACATCTCTATTTTAATGTATGATTTTGCTTTTATAAATATATATAAGTGATGCACCAATACCATTTTGCAAGTACTGGTACTTGCCCAAGTACTCACAGATACAAGTACTGATACATTTTTGTTTATTGTCATGTGACCGTTTTTCTAAAACAATATCGACTAATGATTTCAGGACAGTGGTTGAGAGCCAGAGCCAGGTCCCAGCTGCAACCACTGCAACCCTGGTAGTTCTGCACTGGTATCTGAACTGGTATCGGTGCATCCCTAGTGCTTATCTACCCGTTGGTGATGTGACGTCTGTGATTTCCATCACCACCACTGACATCTTTGCCCGATCTTCTTCCTGATTCAGTGTCGCTAACCATCTTGACTGGCTGACTCTGGGTTGACGTAATTTCTGTGCGTATGCTGACCCAAGCCGTGCCAAGACTATACAACGAGTTGTGCAAGTGCAGCTTAGTGTACAATCTAAAACACTTGCTATCAGGCAGACAAGTAGCATGTATCACAGAAGAGACATACAGAGACCTACAGGCTGTCTCTTGCCATAAAAACCTTCCTGCCAGCAATTTCCACTTGAAGACTCCTAACTTGTTGACTTGGAAATTCATAATTCAAGGAGTGTGGGAATTCCAATAATAAGACTATTTGCTTCACAGGCTCCGACATCTGCTGACGAGCTACATTTATAACGCTCATATAGGCAGAAAACCTAGGAGTATTTTTTCCCTAAGGGCATGTCATTTATAATGTGATCTGTGTATTTCTAGCTGATTTGTGAAGTAGTTGTAGTGAGGGCTTCAGTCAAGAGCTCCTGATGCAGAAGAGTCAGTGAGCAGGCAAGAGACAAAACTCTTAATATCTAGGATATCCAACAAGCTTTAATGTACTCCCCAACAGTCGAAGAGAAAGGGGTCATCTTCGCCCCTTTACAATCTCACAGTAGCACTGAGTTTTTTCCTGTAGACTGATAAATGTGCTGGATTCCCCATGCCATGTCTGATTTTAGAGTTTCTCCGGCGAGCTTCACTACACCATTCTGCTGTCTGATCTGTAACTACCTGAGCTGCTTAGCAC